ATATGATACTCAGTCTGCAACTGAGAATGAAAAGAAGTATATGTACATAACTTCTGATAAATCGGGAAAAAGGCTTATATTGGAAAAATTTCCAAAACTTCCTTCAGGATTGCATTATACTCATATAAGTGCAATCGAATCGCATCTAGTGATTAAAAGAAATCCAGAAGATTTCACATTATGGCATGATCGCCTCGGTCATCCAGGCACCTCGATGATGCGAAAAATCATAGAGAGCTCACATGGACACCCATTGAAAATCCAGGAGATATATCATGGGAATAAAAAGACATGTGCCGCATGTTCTCTTGGAAAACTTATCATAAGGCCATCGCCAGCCAAAATTGATAAAGAATCACCAAAATTCCTTGAACGAATTCAAGGAGATATTTGTGGACCAATACATCCACCATGTGGACCATTCCACTATTTCATGGTATTAATTGACGCATCCAGCAGATGGTCACATGTTTGTCTATTATCATCTCGAAATATGGCATTTGCGAGATTTCTAACTCAAATAATCAAACTGAGGGCTCAGTTTTCTGATTACCATATTAAAAGAGTTAGACTAGACAACGCTGGTGAATTCACATCCCAAGCTTTTAATGATTATTGTATGGTAACGGGAATTGAAGTAGAACATCCTGTAGCTCATGTTCATACACAAAATGGTTTGGCTGAATCTTTAATTAAACGCCTGCAATTAATTGCAAGACCATTGATCATGAGATCAAAACTCCCAACCTCTGTATGGGGACACGCTATTTTGCATGCTGAAGCACTTATCCGAATGAGACCAAGTGCATATCATAAATATTCCCCATTACAACTAGTATTTGGTCGTGAACCAAATATTTCTCATCTAAAGATTTTCGGTTGTGCGGTATATGTGCATGTAGCACCGCCACAACATACAAAGATGGGACCCCAACGAAGGTTAGGGATATATGTGGGTTATGATTCTCCATCCATTATAAGGTATTTAGAACCTCGAACTGGTGACCTCTTTACGGCACGCTTTGCTGACTGTCATTTTGATGAAAAAGAGTTCCCAGTTCTAGGGGGAGAAAACAAACAAGTAGGAAAGAATATAAAGTGGAGCGTACCATCTTTGTTACATCTTGATCCTCCTACGAAACAGTCGGAACTGGAAGTTCGACGAATTATGCATTTACAAAGTATAGCAAATCAATTACCTGATGCTTTTGCAGATACTAAAACGATAATCAAATCACATATTCCAGCTGCAAATGTTCCTGCTCGGATCGAAATTCCACAAGAACATGGAAAAGCAGACGATACACGTGAGTCTAGAACACGCCTGAAGCGTGGTAGACCAGTTGGTTCTAAGGATAAAAATCCTAGAAAGCGAAAGGAAGCTGAAAAGCTCGATACTCCCAAAATAGCTGAAAATATTTTGGAGGAGACAAATCATGAGAATAATGATGATGTAGAAAATCGTGAACCTGAAGGAAATCATGAGATTTCTATCAACTATATCCATAATGGAAAGATCTGGGATCGAAATAAAATGGATGAAGTCGATGACGTTTTCTCATACCTCGTAGCAAAATAAATTGATGAGGAAAACGAGGATCCAGAACCAAAGTCGGTATATGAATGTCAAAAGAGACATGACTGGATAAAATGGAAAGATGCAATACAAGTCGAACTTGATTCGCTCAATAAGCGAAATGTATTCGGATCTATTATACTCACACCTGAAGATGTGAGACCGGTTGGATACAAGTGGGTTTTCGTTAGAAAACGAAATGAGGAAAATGAAATTACGAGATACAAGGCTCGTCTTGTAGCTCAAGGATTTTCTCAAAGACCCGGGATTGATTATGAGGAAACATATTCCCCCGTTATGGATGCAATAACGTTTAGATTCTTGATGAGTCTAGCGGCTGATGAAAATTTAGAAATGCGTCTCATGGATGTTGTTACAGCATATTTGTATGGATCATTAGATACAGATATCTATATGAGAGTTCCCGACGGGTTTAATATGCCAGAAGCATTGAAATCTAAACCCAAAGAGTTATGTGCAATAAAGTTGCAAAGATCATTATATGGGTTAAAGCAATCTGGGCGAATGTGGTATAATCGTCTCAGTGAACATTTAACGAAAGAAGGATACGTGAACGATCCTATATGCCCATGTGTTTTCATCAAGAAAACAAAATCCGGATTTGTGATAATCGCGGTATATGTTGATGATCTAAATATAATTGGGACTCAAGATGAAATATAGAAAGCAACAAACTATTTAAAAGGGGAATTCGAGATGAAAGATCTCGGACAAACAAAGTTTTGTCTTGGCCTACAAATTGAACATTCCCAAAAGAGTATATTTGTGCACCAATCCACGTATACTAAAAGAGTGCTAAAACGATTCAACATGGATAAGGCAACTCCTCTTAGTACTCCTATGGTCGTTAGATCACTTAACGTTGAGAGTGATCCATTTCGACCGCATGAGGAAAATGAAGAGATACTTGGTCCTGAAGTACCGTATCTAAGTGCAATAGGAGCACTTATGTATCTTGCTAATTGTACAAGACCTGATATATCATTTGCCGTTAATCTTTTGGCAAGATTCAGTTCATCTCCTACGAGAAGGCATTGGAATGGGATTAAACATATCTTCCGATATCTTCAAGGGACGATAAATTTAGGATTATTTTATCCTAAAAATTCAAAAGGGCAAATTGTTGGTTTTGCAGATGCGGGATATTTATCAGATCCACATAAAGCCCGATCACAGACTGGATATGTCTTTACAATCGGAGGCACTGCTATATCATGGCGTTCCCAGAAGCAAACGCTTGTGGCTACTTCTTCAAATCATGCTGAAATCATTGCACTACATGAAGCAAGTAGAGAATGTGTATGGTTGAGATCAATAAGCCAACACATTCAATCAAGCAGTGGGATCAACGTAAACAAAGAGCCAACCATCCTATATGAAGATAATGCTGCATGCGTTGCCCAAACGAAGGAAGGATATATCAAAAGTGATAGAACCAAACATATCCCTCCGAAATTCTTTTCATACACCCAAGAACTCGTGAAGAATAAAGACATTGAAGTAAAATATGTCCGATCATCCGAGAATTCTGCGGATCTCTTCACGAAATCATTACCCACCTCTATATTCAGGAAACATGTTCATAACATTGGAATGCGTCGTCAACAAGACTTGTAAGTTATGATCCTGATCATTCGAGGGGGAGCTTGCGCGGTTGCACTCTTTTTACCTACTATGGGTTTTCCCACCGGGTTTTCCTAGAAAGGTTTTTAACGAGGCAACATAAAATATTACGCAAGAGACATAGTGACACTGGTCTCCAAGGGGGAGTGTTGTAAAAGTCAAGGAAAGCTGCAACATCAAATACACATGCGTAAACGATCGTAAAATAATATTTTGTGTGGAGCCCACCGTCACTATGCAGCATAGTAACTTATCTTTTCTACCTCTATATAAACGATCGAAATCGTTCGATGTAATTCACACCTTCACAACTCGCATTATTTCAATTATAAGAGAAGTAATAATCTCTCTCCCTCTCATCTCTTTATTATTCAGTATCCCGATCTTTCTGCGGGTATAATTTTCTCTTCATTAAATATTTATATATCCACCATAAAATCAAATACTCTTTTATAACACATACAAATTAAATTTTATATATTATAATGATTTATATAATATAATTAAAGTTGTATTTATGTCAGTTATAAATATAGGCTTATAGATTTGTTGTTTCAATTCATTTGTTGGTGTCGAAATGCATACGCTGTATGTTTATATTGTCTAAGTTTCTAATTAAAAAACATAATGCATTCATATAAATAAAATCTTCACATGAAAACTTTCTTATTTAAAATTTCGTGATATTTAATTTTGATAACTTCAGTTAGAATAGTATATTAAATAAATATTTGGCGAGAAGTATAATAGAATTAAAGAATGAAAAAAAAAAAGATAAGAATAATTGTGGGCATGACACATAAGTATCAATGATTCTCTTGTAATTTGTAGAGATATATATATGTATATTTTGTATTATATAAATAAAGACATGTTTCATTTAACTTGGATATAAACTTTGAGGTAAAAATACACAAATATCATTGGTTCTCTACTTCTAGAGGATTTTAAAACTTGTTTACGGATCCTACAAATAACTCATACGGTATTGACAATCACTTCTTAATAGATCACCCATCTTAAAATCGCTTCAGCACAAGCATGTTAACTACATAGTTCTTTTGGGATGTATGACCAAAAAAAAATAAATGTGTCTTAGTGACATAGATGACCAAATCAATTTTTTAAAAATCTTTTACATGCATCCAAATCGGAAAAACAATGTTATCTTTTTTGTTATGCATTTTAATTCATTCGGATTAAAAAATCAAATTTAAATCACATTAAAATATGTTTTGGATTTTGGATCGGATCAGCTTGTCGAGATTAAACAACCATATGACTTTCATTTATTTTTACTTATATACCGGAAAATTCTAAAAGCCAATAACACTACGAAAAATGCCAAACATATTGGTGTTCATTTATTATACTCCCTCCGTTTTTCATTGATTGATGTTTTAATTTATTTTCTTGTTTTTAATAGATTGATTTTGTATTTAATTAAAGTGGTAGTTAATAGGAATAATTAATGGTCAAACCCTTTTTAGACCTTTCAATTGATTAGCAATAAAAGTATTTATCAGAAGAAATAAAGAGAAATACCGTGAGAATACGAAGAGTTTAACATGTTGGTAGAGGAAGTAATTGGCTTTATTACAACAATAAAGAAGGTTTAGTAGGTATGTGCAGAATTAATATTTCTGTTATTAAATTATTTTTATTTCATAAAATGATTAAAAATGTAAGTATTAAATGTGTTTCTTAATATGTGTGAAATCAATCTATGAAAAACAGAGGGAGTATAAAATTGAAACTCTAAATGCCAATAAAACCAAAATTACACCAACCCTACTACTATAGATACTCTTAATAATCAGATATTGTATAGAAATTGCTACAAAGATGTTTGTATCAAAGTGCATTACCAATATGATACGAGTAATAAGATAGAGTACATGAAAACAGAGTTTTTCCGACTAAAGAAAACGATTACATATGTAGTCGCCAAATTTAGCGACTATTGGATGATTACTCAGCGACGAGTTTACGACTAGCATTATTTAGACATGTGCTCTTTAGTCTCGAATGAGTTATATAAACAAACCGACGTTTTGTTTAAACGCGTTTGGGACGGTTTTCCATGAGGAGATCTAATATCACGAAGTCTCTTCTCCTCGGAGAGGATTCCTGCTAACCTGCCCAGTGATCACCGAAAAAATGAAAAAACACATCAAACATGATACTAAAAATTTAAGTTGGTCTTATTTCTCTATGGTCTAAATTATATCATTAAACGTACATGATAAGAGCCTTCTCGTTTGTAGTCTCGTTGGCATCCTCATTGCGCCCCGTTTCTAGATTTACTCTTGACACTGGTTTCTTCAATAGTTTCTCTCCTGTCTTCACCAGATTACTCAAATTTTCCTCTGTTGCTATATCAACCGAGCATGCGTCCCCAGTTAGTGTATCATCCTAAATAAATGATTCCCAAACAGTTTGGTTAGAAAAGTAAGATTCAATGGTCAAAAAATGAGCGTGTATATATGTTTATTGTTTGTTATAGCAATTCAAAAATGTATATGATCATGAATATATGACTCGCAATGCGAATTTTCTATTGTGTATATAGTATAAAAGGAAAACTTAATGATTCATATAATTTACCTGGATACGGATATAGTTAGCCTCAGAATGGAGAGCCTGGAATACGGTAGATAGATGAAAATCAACCATATCGGAGCTTGCTTGTGTAAAGGCATCGATGATTGGCGTGGAATTATTGTGTGTCAACCAACTCAACATTCCCCAACCCGCACATTCTCTTGCATCGAATTTCTCATCGACCTTACGATCACCGGTCCCAAGCGAAAGGACGTGAAATCTTCCGTAGTCATTTGCTTTTATGGGAAAGAAATCAGTTTTACCTTTTGTAATCTCCTTTGTCACTTCTCCAATGGCCAACAAAGCCTATAGTCAAAGCATGTACGGATCATAATTTTGTTGCTCTAAAAATATAACTAAGTGACCCAAATTATAATTTGAAAAGTTACTGGGTTGTTAGCTGCAACACCACCATCAATGAGATGGAACTCCTTGACGTTCCCGGCCGAGTCTTGTGTTTGAAAGTGATGGGCAGGCAGATAAGTCGGGGCAGCTGAGGTTGAGATGCTAATATCCGCAAGTAGTGCGTTTTTGAAAGGTTTAGTTTTCACCTATTAACACCAACAATATATCATGTAAATTGTAAACCTTTTAATTATTTGAAAAGAATATATGAATTTACAATATGCAAACCTCATAGGTAGTGAAGATTGTAGGCTGAAGATGTTTAATATCAAAAGAAGGAATCACTACGTTGGTGAGTGTTTGGTCTAATCTTGTGTCTCCTAATTTTTCTTTGATAAGTTGGTGAAGGTAGTGACCGTCATACTTTGGTCCGGTTAAAGACTTCAACAAATTTTTCGCAGCCGAAAAAGGAAATTGATCTTGAGGAAAAATCTTAGGACAATGCTCAAGATAGAAGTCCTTGATCTCGTTGGCAGCAAATAAGGGACGACCTTCTTTGTTTGGGGCGGTCAGCATTGCAGTCACTAGACCGCCTGTGCTCGTCCCCGCAATCACATCGAAGTAATCTGCAAGCCTTGCTCCTTCCCCATCTAGTTTCTAAGCACATAAAAAATAGAAAAAATAGAAAAACCAAAACTTATTTGACGAACTCAATACTAATACGTTGAATTGACACAATTCAAAATTTAGTTTCATCTTAAAATTTATCCAAATTAATTTTCTTAGTCGATTATGATGGCTTTATTTATATATCAATAATTAGTTAATGTGCTTGCAATTACGAGAAAGTTGTAAGTTTCAAAGTCTAACAACGAAAGTTGTTATAAAATATTTGACATGCTTTTAGTTGCAACGTTTATTACAGAGTCCTCAAACCAATAAACCAACGTTGATTAGAGTAAAGAACACAAAGGTGTTTAGGAAGAATTATAATTAGACTCTTCTAAGAATAAAATTATACATTATATTCTTTTATATAGAGATAAAATTTCCTAATCTAAGATAAATATAAATGTAAATAATATATTTAGAGATTATGTTAAATTTCCTAAACTTAAGATATGATAAGATCCTTCTCGATCTTCATGATTTCCATATTCTTAGATGATCATCTCGATCGTCGATCTCCTATTTTCCCAATAGCCCGGCAAGCTCATACGTGGTAACACGTGTGAAATTGAACAAATCTTCAAAAGAGCGGCTTTATACCCGGCCGTCAGGTCATCATCGACATTTATATTCAGACGTGGGGTCAATGCGGCTACAAAACGCAGCCGTTAGGTCATCGACGTTTATACCCAATCGTAGGGTTCAAAGCGGCTATAAAACCCAGCCGTTAGGTCATCATCGTTTAGACCCGATCGTAGGTTTCAAGTAATAAAAAATAACTTGCGATTGCGAGGTTCGGTTGTAGCTCGCATGATTGCGAGGTTCGGATGTAGTTCGCTGTGGCGAGACTAAAGAAAAACAACTCATGAGGGCAAGAAGTTTAATGAAAAGGAGATATCATACTCGCGAGGGCGAGAAAAACATCATTGTCACCAAAGATTGAACGAACCCATCAATAGGTCCATGTTCATAAACCAATGTCTTGGTCTTCGAAAAACTAGCCACCTTGCTTACAGCAAATCAGAGAGGATAGAACCAAAGGCAGACAAGCAAACAAGAAGGAAGAGATGTGAAGCTTGTGTTAGAAGCAAGCAACACTACGTCAAACAAATTAGAGTTTTTTTTTTTTTTTAGGTAATTGAGGAAGCAAACGAACCTTAACCCATAGGATTTGGATCAAGGCTCTGATACCATGATAAATTGATGAGAGTAAAGAACACAAAAGTGTTTAGGAAGAATTATAATTAGACTCTCATAAGAATAAAGTTATAAATTACATTCTCTTATATAGATATGAGAATTTCTAATCTAAGATAAATATAAATGTAAATAATATATTTAGAGATAATGTTAAATTTCCTAAACTTAAGATATGATAACTTCTAAATCCTTCTCGATCTTCATGATTTCAATATTCTTGAACGATCATCTCGATCGTCGATCTCCGACTTTCCCAATAAAATACTAGTATCAAAATAGATAAGAATTTCCACACTCTATCAAAGATATAAGAATTCCATTCTTTCGTATATACGTTTTTCGATCAGAATAATTTCCATACTCTGAGATTATTAGAATATGTAGTTTTTAGTAATATAAGATATATAAGGTTTTGAGCTTTAATTCATAATTGTTAGATATTTTAGAAAGTCTTATGATTAAAAAAATAAAATAGTATATATGGATTTAGAAATAGAGAAACTAAAAAATATTCCATATAAATAAATAAAAAAATTCAAATATAGAGATACACTTAATCATTTTCAAGTTACCTATATAACTTTTATAATATTTTCTTTTTAAAATTTATTTGCTGTATAAATAATAAACCTTATCAATATAATCAATATTTTTTTTGCTAAGAAAATATATATATATATATATAATATAATATATAATATATTATAATATATAATATAATCAATATATTATTGTTGAATTTATCCCTAATCCATTTTTCTTCTTGATCCGTCACTCCTAATTCTTGACTATAATTACTAGTTGAAAAAGTTGCCTTAGTCTTATTTGATATGGTTTTGATTTTGTAAAAATCAAAATGGAGAAAATAAAGACACAACATAAAATTACCTGAAGCTCAGACTCGAGAAAGGAGAGAATAGTTGCAGGAATAATTCCTCTGATGCCACCACCATCAATGCTAAGAATAGTGATCAAGTTACCATAAGTAGGAGGTTGAAGAGGAGAATTCGGACTGTCCATTATTATTTTCTTAACAGGAGAAAAAGAAGCTTCAATGTCTCTCTACTTAACAAGAGAGAAAGGATAATTTTGATGCTTTTGATTTATTTTTATAAAGAGATTCTGATGCTTTTGATGATATGGTTCATGTGGTGGGAATTTACAGGCAATACACACACTCTTGACAATTCATTGAATCTTCAAACAATTTTGAAGCGAAATTAACTTGTACCTTCATCCTTTCATCTAATTTTATTTGTTAATATTTTCAAAACAGTGTTGTCTACCCAATTATGCATTTTAAGTAATACTTTTTTCTTCTTATTAGACTCTTTCAAACCTTAAAATGGGATAATTTAATTTAGTTAATCTGCTTTTCCAAATTATATTCCCTTTCTCCAACTTTTCAGCTATTTTGAAAATTCAAAGCATGTGATAATGCAGCATGAGTTGGTACCACATAGATCTTCTTTACTTTAACTAACATTCTTAACTTTTTCTTTATAGAATTTAGACTGAGACCCTCTCGCGATGTTGCAGAAAAATAAATTAATTATATATTATGTAATATTATCTCAATTATTTTTATAAAAAGATATGTTGAATTAAGTTTTCCAGAAATTAAAATTACATATAATGAGAAGTGTATTATGAGTCTATTGTGTATTCTTTCTTGATTTTTTTTTAAAAAGACTTAAAGTAAACGCGATCTATGATTGATGTTTATGAGAATTCTTAAAATCTTTAGTTAATCAAGAATGATTAAAGTTTCTTCAAATTTAAAATGATGTATTTTATAAATTTTTTTTGAAAATATATGAAAATTTTGATTATTTAAAATTAATTTATTTACATTCATTTTAAAAATAAAACTGATGAAAAATGGTAGTTACTTAAGAAAAAACTAACAATAAGAAGACATGAACTTTAGTTCCGGACAATTGTTAGTAAAATACACAACCATGTGGAAGAAAAATTGTGATAAAAATGGAATTTGTTAGTAAAATACTGACTCTTCTGAATCAAAAGTTATAATAAAAAATATTAAAATCGTTAAGAATATTATAGCATAGAGACAAGATCCTAACTAAAAAAAAATTATCAAACAAAATATCATTATTTGTTAACGATTTTAGAAATTTTCTTATAACAATTATCACACAGAGCCTTCTGGATCAAAAGTTATGATTAAAAATATTAAATTCGTTAAGAATATTATAGCATAGAGACAAGATCTTTAAGTAAAAAAACATTATCAAACAAAATATCATAATTTGTTAGCGACTTTAGAAATTTTTTTATAACAATTATAACATAAAATATATATCGAGATTTAACCTTCATAGACATTTGTTAAGTTTAGTACTACTATTAGAAAAACATAATGGTGAAAAGTAAAAAACAAAAATCAAACCAAAACTCAAAATGAGTAGATTCAATCTTTCTATATCTTTAATTATAAATATAAGGGCCCTAAATGTAAATATATATTATTAAGAAGGTTATATATATCTCCACAATCTAAATATAATGGGAAAAAAAAATTAATGTTATCTAACTATCAATTAGAAATTCACATCAGCAAAATTATTTTAAACTTGTTTTTGTTTTGCCCATCATTTCAAATTGGCTGATACAAGGAGAGAAAAGTCTGTGCCACCTGGATTCCAGTAGCATTGGCCATCGGAGTTTGAATTCTAACATAGTTTATCCGGACTCTAGGATTAGTCTTTGGGCCTAAAAAACCTTACAGATAACCTGAGTTATCAAAAAGAAAAAAAAAAAGAAAAACCATAGAAATACACCTATAGCTGTATAATAAATATGTTCAGACTATTATAAAGACTTTATCATAAATGTTTTACATGAAAATTTACACATTTGATTAGATATTTTACCAATTTGTACATAAAAAGATTGGAAAAATGGATAGAAAAACCCTCACCTTTCCTAAAAACAGGTAAAAATCCTCAACTTTTTTTTGTGGGGTTTTAAACCCTCATCTTTTCATAACCGGTAAAATAAACCCTAATATTAATAAATTCAACTTTTTAAAAACAAAATCTTTATATTAAAACAGTAAGAAATAAAAACAATTTAATTTTTAATTTTTTTTTCAAATTCGAATTTGCAATTTTTTTTTCTAAATTTTTTTTTTGCGCTATAAAAATTCATTCACAATTTAGGTGAGATTAGCAAATCATTTTTGTTTACCATTAGAAGTTATGTTATGTAAACTACAAAAAATTTTAGGATAGCGCATTTGATTTGTTTGTTGTTCGAGTTTTCAGGTTTTGTAATTTATATTATTTTTAATATATTGTAATATGTATATAGAAATATTAACTGTTAGTAAATTTTATTTAATTTGTCCGATGGAAATATTTTGATGTAGAAATTCATGTACTTTTCGTAGTATTATAAAATTTAGTTTGGTTTCACGTTAACAAATTTGTGTGATGGAGCTGAATAAAAATTTATTAACATAAACTCATATTCGGTTCAATATAAGAATTTATATATTATTCGTAACAAAATCCGTTTGGTTTCACATTGCTGAATTTTTATAACACAACCAAATACAATTAAATTTTTTATATCATGACTTAAAAAATTTCAATTTAGAAAAAGATTGTAAACTAGAATCTTAGAAGACAAAACCCAAAATAAAATTGTTATACTTATTATGGTTTAATATAACGACTTGTTTGAATTTAAATTGAGTTTATTATAATAGGGTTTATGTTACCATTTATGAAAAGATGAAGGCTTAAAAACCCAAAAAAAAAGGTAAGGATTTTGCTACCCATTTTTTAAAAAAGATTAATAGAAAAATTCTTAAGAGCTTCCCTAAACAACGTTTGAATTCTAGTTTATATAATGTAACTTTTTTTTTGTAGAACAACAACGACTATTAGAATTTGAAATATTTACTCAGATGTTAACCAAAAGTTCGAATATTACTAGAATATCATACATTTTCTAAAAATTACTCATATGTTTTGAGTATTTGTGTAATTACAATTAACACCCTTCATTAGTTTTTTTTTAATTAATAATTTTTAATTCGTTTTTAATTAAAAATAATAAATAAAAATTTGATTATCCATGTTATTAATCCACATCACCAATCTCACACTCCTCAAACTCACGTTATTTCTCCTCTTCTCTTTTTTGTCTCCAAAACCAAGAAAAGCTTTTAGATCATTTCTCCTCTTCTCTTTTTTTTTTTGTCTCCAAATCCAAGAAAAGATCTATTAATCTGCAACTAACTTGGGTACAACATTGACAGAGATCTTCAAATTGCAGGATTGGGCTGGATCTTCCTAGACCTCACAGCCACAACGCTTGCCATAGGGTCCCAAATCAAAAGCTTCGTCAGATCTACTCGCAACCACGCTCACAAAAAAAGTCATCAAAAATCAAAACCCAAAACAAAGAGATCTATGGAATTCTACATGATTCGTTACAGGTTTGAGTTGAAATCAAGAATAGCTACTCTTTTACTTTGATTTTACATGTCTCTCGTTTAATCTTCCTCTCAATCGATCTATTTGGAGACATTTCTACTTCTATCTATGTTTTGATTCATACGGTTTAGTCTTCCTCCTATGTATCTCTCAAACATATTTTTACGAATCTTAATTTGATTGTTGTTATTTGACCAATAAATTTCATATTGTCTTCTCCAAAAAATGTTGCTTTCCGATCTGTATTATAAATCAGCCGTAAAGTGATGTAACTCAGCCGTAACGTGATGTAACTCAGCCGTAACATATAATTTACACAACCTTTCGTCTTCCCTGAATGATAACTCAGCCGTGACATGTAATTTACCGAACCTTTCGTCTTCCCCGAAGCATATAACTCACCCGTAACATATAATTTACACCCATCTATCGTCTTCCCTGGAGAATATAACTCAGCCGTGACATGTAAATTTACCGAACCTTTCGTCTTCCCTTAAACATATAACTCAGCCGTAATGTAATTTTACCGAACCTTTCGTCTTCCCTGGAACATATAACTCAGCTGTGACATGTAAATTGACCGAACTTTTCGTCTTTCCTTAAGCATATAACTCAGCCGTAATGTAATTTTACCGAACCTTTCGTCTTCCCTGGAACATATAACTCAGCTGTGACATGTAAATTGACCAAACCTTTCGTCTTCTCTTAAGCATATAACTCAGCCGTGACATGTAAATTTGCAGCGAAACAATAAGAGACGCAACATTTCCTCTAACTTTATCATCGAGCACCAACTTCACAAGTTTTTCGTGCGTTGTTTTCGCATCTATCTGCACAACTCTACACCCTCTTTCATCGGTGTTAAATACGTATTTGTGTTTTTATACCCAATTACCGGAACCGGATCAACCATATCGGGAGAAGGATGAAAGAAATTGAAGAAGAATGAGGAAGACGATGAGGAATTGGAAGTTCCGGTGATGTGATAAACTCAGGTGAAGAAGACGAGTTGAAAAAATTTGGCCCTATTTTTTTGTCCTTTGATGATGATGACATGGAATGATGACATGGAATGTTGCATCCACGTCATTTTTAATTGATGAAGTGGCAAGTGAGCCACCAAACCAAAATGTAAATCAGCTTAATTAAACCAGCCATCAAACAAAACTTTAACTCAGCCGCAACATGAATACTATTACAGTAATTAAAAAACGAAAAAACGGCAGCCAAATTCAGCCGTTTACTGTCGTAACTCAACCAAAAATATTTAACTCAGTCGTGTCGTTTAATAAGTCGGCCGTCATTGCATGCTATTCTAGTAATTAATCTTTCACTACTAAGTCAGCCATAATAAGGCCGAGTTTTCCGTTAATCCAGCTCATTACGGCTGATTTATGATACTCGAACATAAATCAGCCGTAACGTCATCCCATAACTAAGCCGTCTTTGATAACTCAGCCAGCCGAAAAAAGTTAAGTCAGCCGTGTCGAAGCAATAACTCAGCCAAAAATTTGACAAATCAACCATCGGGTGAAAACTCAGCCGTAACTTAGGCTGGGTTATGCTCGAAAGTCAGCCATTTTATCATAACTCAGACAGATTTCAGTAAGTCAGCCGTAACTCCAGGCTGGGTTATACTCGTAAGTCATCCGTTTGCTCATAACTCAGCCATTTTTCTTAAATCAGCCGCAACATACCGTAACTCAGCCGTCACTGCCGCTATATCACTCGACGGCTAAGTTCATTAATACACGTCAGCGATTTCTGACGTGGCGACGCGGCTTTGCTGACGTGGCAGTGGCATTCTTTGT